TGTTTGATTTTCAATCATCTTGTAAAGAGAAACGTATACTTCACTGTTTGTCCGATTCGATTCGAGTTAACAGGTCATAATTCGATGAGCGAATAAATAAAACGAAGAGAGGAAGCCACGGTTTTTTTTTCTGTGATTTCTTAAAGTCGTGGAAAAACGAATACGAACTATGAATTTTTCTATAATAAAAAGATAAATAATTCTAAAACTGGATGTTGTTTTCAGTTTTTCAAAAAATACCATTGGAAACGTTAATAAAATTCGTTCCTTGTATTTTACGGTTCGAATAGATAGATAGGAAGCATAGATGAAGAAGGGGTTGAAGAAGAGGGTGAAGAATAGCTTTGCTAGGCAAATTAGTTTGCGGTTTGTTTTTGAGAGAGGCGTGTAGCAGATGGTGAATTATTAGAGAATATTATGTAGACGATAAAATTTATTTCATAGCGATTTTATTAGCAAATATAGCTTTAATCGAACGTGAAAAGTTGATGAGTAAAATTTAGAATTGCTTGCAATTCTTTTTTTTTTTTTTTGAAAAATTGAAAGATGAAAAATTTTGAAAACTTTTTCGAAATTTCTTTACTGTTTTGATTTTGAAGGATTAGAGGAATGGAAAATTTGGATAATTGATTACAGGAAGAATAAATTTGGAACAATTTCTTTTGAAATTCCTTTAATTTTTTTAATTTTGAGAATTGGAAGAATTTGAATTTTGAACAAATTTAATTTCTTTTGAAATTCCTTTAATTCTTTAATCTTGAGAATTAATGGAAAATTTGGATAATTATATATGGCTTGGAAATTTTTTCTTCATGTTTGCAAGAAAACTTTTTGAAAATATAATTCTTTAATAAGTTAATAAAATTTCGAATTTTAAAGGATAAAATTTCTATTTTAAATTATTAATCCATTTCGAACAATTCATAATATTATATTCTTATCATAATTGCATAACTTAGCTGTAACATCCCCCTTTTCCAACACTAATCCTTTAATCTCGCAAAATTCTTCGAAGCAGATTCTTCGTTATATGAAGAAGATAGAACAATATCTATCCCTTATCGTTGATTAAACCCTTCAATCGATGTATTCAATCTATATATTATTTCTCTGAATATATATTTCTTCTATCAATTCTATGAATTTTTCTATAATAAAAAGATAAATAATTCTAAAACCGGATGTTGTTTTCAGTTTTTCAAAAAATACCATTGGAAACGTTAATAAAATTCCTTCCTTAAATTTGAAATACTTTATGTTGGATCGTGGCCAAAGGAGAAGGAATTGAAAGAAGCTTCTACTTGTTAAAACTTTGGCGTTATTCCCGAAAGAGATCCACTGGATCACCCGAATCTTTATCCAACGAACATACTTGGTCGATCGTATTTCTCCGAAAAAAAAAAAAAATATCTCCATTTAAAATCTCGAGAAAAGTATGGAGACGAATAATTATCGTCGATCGAATAAATTTATCGTTCATCGAGCACTGGTAGGTCTCCACTCTCTGAATACTTAGCAGAGATTCCTTGAATGATAAAATCTTTTAATTAAAATTCTCCTATGGTCGTTTTTAAACCAATTAAGTCTCTTCATAAATCGTTTTCGGGATGGAAGGTTAATTTTTTGTAAAGGAATGTTATGGAAGTATAACGATAAGTAGCTTATAATTTATGAAAAACGTTACGTGGAAAATTGATATTTATTTTAAATATATATCGATACATTTTAATTGTATCAATTTTTTAATTTCAATTTTTTCTTCTTAATTTTATCGTTTTAGATAATTCTCACATTTGGCATTTCAAAATATATATATAAATATTTCAATTTTCGAATATTGTAATTTTTTCCCTTCAAATAAATCGATTTATTATTTCTCGATATTTAAGAATTATTCCGATAAAAGAAAATTTATCTTTCACGTTGATTTGCTTAAAACTTTTCGAAGAATCGATATTATAAACTCTATGCATCTCTTTCGTCGCATTTCACCATTTAGAATTTCCATTTCCCTTTAATAATGAGCCCAGGACCGCGAACTTTCGGCCAATAGTGGGGCCAACAGGAACAATTTCCAAACGAGAGCATGCATTTATCGTGGTTAACATTTGTTGATTTATCTTTTGGAAGAGAATGATGAATCTATATCCTTTTCTCAGAGAACTTTGTTCGTTTCTTTATAAAATTATCCTATCTATCCTAATTTGCTTAACCAGTTCAATTTTCTTAATTTTTTGATTTACTACTAATTTCTAATTCTAAAAAAAAAAAAAAAATATTATTCAAATAGAATTATTAGCGTAAGTAAATTTTCATTTTAGTTTTACGTGGTTACTTAAATTGATTAGAAGATAAAATATAGTAGTTGGAGTTAAATGGAATTTAGCTGAAATTTCTCATCAAAGTGCGAGAGAGCATTGAGAGAATCATCTATCTATGTTTGATCTCCTCCACTTTAAAATTCATTCTCGTAATTTCACGTTGAATTAATCCCAATCAATCCATTAAAGAGTAGATTAAATCTATTTTCGTGTGTGATTAATATATTCCATCAAAGCAACAACAAAAAAAAATAAATAAATAAAGGAATCGCGTTTCAAATAATTGAATCGAACGTTTAAAGTACTCACGTGTGGTGAAACTGTGATCCCACCAATCTGTTCGGCACAGATAAGCTTTCAGATCATCCGCTGTTCGCGCCACAATCACCACAGGTGGCGCCACCAATGTACGAATGCTCAGAAACACGCTGAATATCATTACGATGACGCCTAACCGTTTTAGAAGGCTGCCATCCGTTATTTTCACAGCTTTCGCTGACTTCACCCGAAATATTACCGATATCCTGCAACCAAAAGGATTAGAGAATTAAGTTTTTTTGTGTATGTGATTTTTTTGTGTGTGATTTTGAATGTGAGCCAGCATCAAATAAAAATCGGATATATTTTTTGATAGATAGGTTAGAGATAGATCAAAGAATAACACACGTGGTTAGAAAATTCATCGATTCGTTAATGGCGTTGATTCTATTCCTATTTTATATCTTTTATTATATATTATTATATATTATTAGTAGAGAACGATCAAAACACAATTTACACACGCTTTCATCACCATTGGTGGTTTGGACGTGAATGTGTAATTACTTATTCATATTCTGTGACACACGGTTTGTAACATATGCTTTGACATAATAGCAACGAATGCTCTTAAATGGTAATATATGTGAAAATGAGGGAATTGTTGCGTATGTACTATATCCCGATAGAGAATATTTATCATAGGGTGTACAATATTGAAATATCTGCTAATCTTACTTGTGATTGATAATTACAGACAAAAATTGAAATAATTCACGAATTTTATATATATATATATATATATATAT